ACAAATTAATAATTTGGCGCAGCATCCACGGTAATCACGGCCTGTCACGTTTGCCCATTCCGTCCCCCCGCGTTGTCTCACGTTCATCCCGTTTTGTCCACGGTGGCCTGAAACGGGGCTGCCGTGGCCGCCGGGAACACAGTGTAAACGCAGCATAATAGAGGCACGAAACAAGTTCCCCACACATCACACACGGATATTATGGTAATCTCTGACCGAGCTTCTTCTAAGTACCGACACGGTACTTAGAGTTACAGTATATATAGGCACCCAACGCCTCAGCCACGTTTCGGTGTTCATCGGTTACTTATTACAAATAAGGAATTATAGGACACGTGATTGAACTAATGATTGACATATCCGCATGGCATGATAGACTGGTGGAGGGAACCGATAAGCGTTGTGATAAGGGCGTTCTAAAAAAAGGTTGCTAAGTAAAGCAAACTCGGTAACTGCGAAATCACGAAGGAAACACACCAACGAAGTGTGTGAGCTTGACCAACCTAGCAACAGTATCTAAGGGGCGTGGTTACCTCGACCAGACGGACAGGTGAATCTGTCTGATCTGTTACAGACTGCACACGACGCGCACTTATACCTTAGGTTCGCTTATATAGTGAAACAATACGTACGATGGGTACATATTGCCAATAATCGATATCATAATCAATAATCAATATTACGTCACGAGGTGTATAATACAAAAGGCCATGCTAGTGTTGCTTCATACATACACATATCTATATCTATATATACGTGTTTTTTTTAAGTTGACGACGGAAAATGCGTTTTTTTCCGTAGCTAGCCACGCGTGCCCACGTTATAGATGGTCGCCGTTCCTCCGAGCGTCTCGTCCCCGTACGCGCCGCGCGGACGGGTGCGGGTCCCCTTGCCGCCTCTGTTGAAGTTGTAGTTGGCGACGGGCTGCGGACGCGGCGCTGGCGCCACCTGGCCGCCAGCTCTGTACAGCGCCAATGAGCGGTCGGCGCCTCGCTTGTGGGTGCTGCTGTAGCGGCTGCCTGCCGACCTGGGGGCGTAGTAGGAGGAGGCGGCGGCGGCGGCGGCGGCGGAGTTGCTTCCGTAGCCGAGGTTAGCTCCGTAAGAGGGCGCTGCGGCGGCGGCTGCCCCGTAGTCGAAGCTGGCACCGCGCGGACCGTCGCCGTATCGCGCCACCTGCACGGGGGCGCCACCGTAGCCATCGTCGTCGCCGTACACGCGCGCCTGCAGAGCGTCGCTATACCGCGTCTGTCCTCCCCCGTACTGACCTCCCCCGTATTGACCGCCCCCGTATTGACTTCCCCCGTACTGACCTCCCCCGTACTGACCACTTCCGGACTGTCCGGAACGCCCAGCTCCGTAACCAGCTGCTCCGTACTGTCCGCTTCCGTACTGGTCAGCCCTGGACTGTCTGGCTCCGTACTGGTCAGCCCTGGACTGTCCGGCTCCGTACTGGTCAGCCCCGTACTGTCCGGCTCTGTACTGGTCAGCCCCGTACTGTCCTGCTCCATACTGGTCACCTGCATACTGTCCGGCCTGCGCGGGATACGGGGATGGGGGGTAACCTCCCGCAGCCTGGGTCCGGCCGCCCGCCCCCTGGTATCTTCCTCCGGCGTACGCGTCCTCTCCGTATCCGGCGCGTGAGTAAGCTCCGTACGGCGTCGTGCCGACACGGGGGTAGGTGCGGCGCGCGCTCGCATAGCGCTGGTCGCGACCGTAGCCTCCACCCGCCGCCGCCGCGTACCTGCCCCTCTTACCCTGAGCGCCGTAACCCTGCCGCTGCGGCGGGGGACCGTAGCCATCACCGCCTTCTCCGCCGTAGCCGCTACCGCCTCCACCGCCATAGCCGCCACCGCCTCCTCCGCCATAGTCGCCTCCTCCTCCGCCGCCGTAGCCTAGGTCTTCATACGCTGCTTCGGGGTAGACTCCGCCGTTCTTAGCTGCTTGCTGTTGCCAGTAGCGCTCGAGCAGGTCGATACCTGAGCAGGTAATAGATAGGGTAGAACACGAGTAGAACACACTTTGAACACATGTAGAACACGGGATAGAACACACGTAGAACATAACACGGGTATAACACATGTAGAACACATGTATAACACGGTATAACACGGAGTAGAACACATGTTGAACACATGTAGAACACATGTAGAACACATGTAGAACGCGGATATAACACGGGTAGAACACGGGTCAGGTGTAATCCTGTTATGTAAAGATTATATCGTAGATAACACACACACATAGCACGAGCGCGTATATATACACACACACACATGAACACACACACACACACACACACACACACACACACACACACACACACACACACACACACACACACACACACACACGCGCGCGCGCGCGCGCGCGCACATACACGCACGTACACACACACACACACACACACACGCACACACACGCCCACCCACTCACACACACACGCACGCACGCACACACGCTATACAACAACAGTCAACAAGTGACGGTAAACAATAGTGTGTAACAACAACAGTTAATATTAGTTTACTAGTATATTACTAATTTATTAATTTATAACAACGACGCGTCCACACTCACCTGCTCCCTTCCTCCTCTTCCTAGCATCCGATGACGAAATCTGAAACGTAAACGTATGACGTCATATTAGTCGCTTGGATTTCGCTTGCAGACGACACGAGGTCGTCCACCATAATGCTGTAGGTTGTAACGACTTGTAATTCGAAACCGTTATCAAGTTGCGTGTTTTATTATACGAGTAAAATGGCAGCAGATGTCGTTTTCCGCACCGATTGTTTGCTAGTATACTCACAGCCATATTTAAATATCACTTAATTTTTTATTTTTGACAGTTTACTACGGAATGTATTGAATTCAATATAAAATACGATATAAAGAAAGTTTCAGATACGTCACAGTACGGCACAGCTATTGTCAGCTATGCGCGTGTATGTTTGCGTTAGAGTAAAAAGCACCAACGACGACGCTTCATATGATGACGTCACATCAAGCCTAAAAAACAACATCGACAAAAATCAAAGCTAGAATTCATGCATGAAATACAACAACGTTTTATTTATGCAGAAACTCAGTAAATAGAGATATACAATATCAGCCGATACTTGAGCAGGTAGTTATGCCACATGGCATAGTAACAAGGCGGTTGTCATGCAACATGGAATATAACATAATATGAAATCGATAGTATAACAAATCGTCTGAACTACATAATTTCTACGAATCTACACGTTATCTACATTAGATATGAAGCTTGATGTATTTATCACGTAGAAGAGAAATCCCTCCATAGATTCGACTGCTGCATATACACACACCGCGGCAATAACGGTTAAAGTGATTACGTCACCGTAAATGGTAAAACTAAAAAAAATATTTATACTTTTTCACAAAATGTAAGTGATTCTGTTCACTTTTTGTGGTTAAAGTGCTGCATTATACTTCCTATATTCCTATATTGTTCGATGTATACATACACTCGTGACTCATACATAGTCCATAGCAAGCAATTAATAGCAGGATAATAATATCAAATCGGCCAGGTCTTTTGGATTTTGAACTAGTTGAGGAACAATCTTATCAGGTAAGAATTTGACGATACATTATATATATATATACACTATAAGTAGTCCCGTTAGTACTTACTTTTAATGTTAAAAAATGGCAACAAAATTTTTACAAATAGCAGCATAGAAAATTCGTGACGTAGTCAATTTAACGTAGCCTAGGCTCTACACGTAATTATGGATAATTAATTAATTATTGTCGAACACATTTTTATCGCTTTTAGTTTCAATCCCGTTTTGCTTTCGCATCATTAGTTTACAGGAAATAACGGTGGTATTACTGGAGTAATGAGTCATAACTACCGAGATTATATTCCTGGTTACCAGAACCAATCGGACTGTTTCCCTGGTTGCCATAGCTACCCAGGCTGCTTCCCTGGTTACCAAAGCTACTTAGACTGCTTCCCTGGTTACCAAAGCTACCTAGGCTTCTTCCCCGGTTACCAACGCTACCTAGACTGCTTTCCTGGTTACCATAGTTGCCCAGACTGCTTCCCTGGTTACCAAAGCTCCCCAGGCTGCTTCCCCGGTTACCAAAATTACTCAGACTGCTTCCCTGGTTACCAAAGCTACCCAGGCTGCTTCCCCGGTTACCAAAATTACTCAGACTGCTTCCCTGGTTACCAAAGCTACCCAGGCTGCTTCCCCGGTTACCAAAGTTACTCAGCCTGTTTCCCTGGTTACCAAAGCTACCTATACTGCTTCCCTGGTTACCATAGCCAACCTGGCTGCTTCCCTGGTTACCATAGCCAACTTGGCTGCTTCCCTGATTACCATAGCTACCCTGGTTGTTTCCCTGGTTACCATAGCTACCCTGGTTGCTTCCCTGGTTACCATAGCTACCCTGGTTGCTTCTCTGGTTATCATAGCCACCCTGGTTGTTTCCCTGGTTACCATAGCTACCCTGGTTGCTTCCCTGGTTACCATAGCCAACCTGGCTGCTTCCCTGGTTACCATAGCTAGCCTGGTTGCTTCCCTGGTTACCATAGCTACCCTGGTTGCTTCCCTGGTTACCATTATGACCAGCTTGGTTGAGAGGCACCTGGTAACCACCGTCCACGCCCGTGTTTCCTTGCGCACCTCGGTTATTATGACCAGCGCCCCCCAATGTACTGATGGTCGTTACCGAGCGACTTCTGTAGGTGCGGCCAATCGGAAGGGTTTGAGTGTTGACACTTCTAGAGCCAGTGTTGCTGCCCTGGCCGCGGTCACCATACCTTGCAACCTGCACCAGCCTACTGCCGAAATTCCTGCCGCCGCCATCACCAAAGCCACCACGGTTTCCTCCAAACCCTCCTCCGTAATCTCCCCCAAGGCCCCCTCCTCCTCCATAACCTCCCCCGCCGTAGCCTCCTCCTCCATAACCTCCCCCGCCGTAGCCTCCTCTTCCATAACCTCCCCCGTCGTAGCCTCCTCCTCCATAACCTCCCCCGCCGTAGCCTCCTCTTCCATAACCTCTCCCGCCGTAGCCTCTTCCTCCATAACCTCCCCCGCCGTAGCCTCCTCTTCCATAACCTCCCCCGCCGTAGCCTCCTCTTCCATAACCTCCCCCGCCGTAGCCTCGTCCACCATAGCCCCCATATCCTCCGCCATAACCACCATAGCCCCCATATCCACCGTGACCTCGGTAGCCGTGACCTCGGTAGCCGTGACCTCGGTGACCTCCGTAGCCGTGACCTCCGTAGCCTCCGTGGCCTCCGTAACCATGGTGGGCTTTTAAGGAAGAAGAGGCAGATGAAAGTCTATTTGCGGACTTGCTTTGCTATCTATGCGTATGCCGCATCTCACCTATCCGCCTCTAGGGTGATTGCCAGATAGCTGCAGCCAATGGGCGCTGCGATGGGGCGTTCTAAAAACACAGCTCAGTGATGAAGTGCAACGAAGTCGACAATTTAAAAAATACTATTACATGCCAATTATATGCCATTATGCCAATTATATGCCATACTATTATATGCCAATTACATGATGAGCTTGTCCGACGCGAGCCAAAACATATCAAGCGAAACAAAAGAAGGCGTTTCGTAATTTCAGTATTTCAGTCACGGATAGGTGAGTTGCTAGACACGTGGATAGGCAGCATATATCTATGATAGCTAGAGGTCGGAGCAAGAAGACACATAACAGTGACGATTCTATATGTATAAGCGTCGTTAATCATGACGAGAATTTACGAGTTTATATATATATATAATTATATATATATATATATATATATATATATATAATACTCTAGTACTATAGCATCGTATTTACATTAGTATTACGTAAAATTTAATTTTTTGCACGTTACAAGTCATGGAATGTAGCCAAACATCCCGCCACATTCTCTACCAAAAACTTTTCGCCGAACTTTCTGTAAGTTAGGTTCAAGTAGTTTATTAGTATGAGTTTTTCTTTTTACAAACAGACATGGGTTTTGAAGTGAATTAACGCTAAAATATCATGGCCGTTTCTTTGAGCTGATTTGCTTGACTGAAGAAAACGCTTCAAGACAAGAGAAGCAAACGCCGTTTGTAAATGTTTGTTTTTGGTTTATGACTGCTAGATAAGTATAAGTTTTCTTGATGTATTTTCCATGAAAGACACATATTTTTTTTTTTTACTCAATAATTTCTAACATATAATATTACTATAATTGCAATTCTTTTGTGCAAATGCGTTATTATTCATCTTAATACTTAAAGTTATGAGAGGGTCTAGGCTTATCGTTATAGCTGCCGAGTTTCTGTAACGTTTTATGTTCGTGCCGTGGTCGATTAGTTTACGTTTCAGCTGACCTGCAGGGTTAAAGCACTAGGTTACTACTTACGACTACTACTACTAACTATGCGTCATGCAAACGAGATAACGAGTAACGTATAGCTCTAGTAACTCGTCGTAGCCTAGTAGCTATAAGTACCGTCGTAGGCTCCATAGTACATAGTAGTACTGTGTAGGCCTTCGCTTTCCGCGCCGCGCTTTTCCCCCCCCGGCTGCGCAACGAAGCACTACGAGGCGTGTAACATACGTACGTATGTAAATATTACGAGAGCCCAGACCGCTCTCATAACTTGAGATTGAGATGAAAAACAACGCATTTGCAGAAAGAATTGCAATTATAGTGATACTTATATTGTTATATTAATGAGGAAAGAGATACGTTTTTCATGAAAATACTCAGAAAACGTACTTATCAGCGGTCATACAACACAAATAAACATATTAACAAATGGGCGTTTGTTCTCTTGTCAAAGGCAAAGCAAATCGAAGCAGCCATCAGAAGGCGCTAAATTCTTCGCTATGTTATACCGTATGGGGAAAAAAATTTCGCAACCGGGCCTGGCGCCGATGACGTGTCCAGGTGGAGACTGCGCATAAGATATAAAGATTTGAACTTTGTCCGGTAGGGGTCAACGACGGCCTTTCGCGTGGCGTTCCGCGCCGCGCCGCGTGTGTGGAGACGGCCTTTATGTTTCAATAGACGTCTTATCTAACACATCTCTATCGACACGAGCTATCATAACCTGTGGCATATACAAATCTTGCACTCCTTAGTGGCGAATTTCACTGGAAAAGAGGCAAAAAATTCCTTTTCTAAGAGAACAACACAGTGCAATTCTGGATGCACAATTTGCGGAAGTTACTGTGTAATAAAGCACGGGTTCACAGGGTGGGTCGCGTGGCCCGTCAAAACAGCCGCAGCATGCAAGCTACTGCTGTTTCGTCTTGTGTCAATAGAGAAGATAGAATAGAATAGACGCCCGACATCCCCCCAGACACAACACGCACACGTGTCCTGTCGGCGTGCAAGCGTGAAGATCGGCCAATCAACTTCGCGGGATTGCCACCGCTCTCCTTCTCTCTCTCTCTCCGTCTCTCTGCCTCTCTCTCTCTCTCGTCTGACTGCTCCTCTCTCCGCTCTCGCTCTCTCTCTCTGCGCTTCTCTCTCTCTCTCCGGGCGCTCATCTGCTCTTCTCCATCTTCTCTTTATCTATCTATCTGTGTATCTGTCTATTTCACCTATTTAGCAAGGCGGGCGCATGCGTGCAACTGT